CACTGTGAAGAGTCAATTCTTGCATAAGGCTTATCCTTTTAATCCAATGAATTCCTCCCCACCAAAAAATATACAACTGTGTGAGGATTTTGAAACATATTTTACCCCTTAAGAGTTAAGGAATACTTTCAAGAAAAGACAGAAGGCAAATATACAACCATTGTCAATCCTGAGATAACATACAACTATAGATTTCAAAAGCATAAAAAATTAAATGTTGTGTGAACACTTCCAGACAGATGTTAACAATAAATTGCATTTCTATATTGAATACTTGCATCAAGTTCAAACTACAGTCATCAATAAATACTCCCCTTATGCAACAATCTCAGCAGGGCAGAAGGAGATGATATACAAGGATGATTATCACATTATAGTCAAAGAACTGTCATTAGAAATAAGGTACATTATGCTAAGAGACCACTTTCTAACACCATGTTTGACCAAATTTAATCCTCAGATTTCAGTGCAACATACAAAAAAACTACACAATTTCATAAAAGAATTTCCTAAGAATTTCCTTCATATAAAATGAAAACATTCTACAGCAACAATCTGGTATTTTCTATCTACATCCCAAAATACGCAAACCAGGACACCAAGGCCATCCCCATTGTTTCAAGGATGAAAATCATCACAGCTGGAATATCACATTTCAAGGACTCTATTCAAACCTTATGCTACCAACAGTCCCAGCTATGTAGGAGACACTAGTTTATTTCCTAAGAAAATGGAAATCCATTAGCAACCCCCATCCCAACAAATATCCTTGTAACTATCATGGATGTTTAAGCATTACATAGCAGTATCTTTCCCAAACACACACCAGAAACAGATTGTTTGGAGTTGAGTAGCACCTAATCAAATAAATTAAATTAAACATGGACTTTAATCTAGGAAGATAATCTCAACTTCAGAGTTGTTCTAAAGTCGGGCAGCACCAAATCAATTAAAACAAATGAATAAACATATAAATAAACATAGCACACCTTATCACCAATCTATGTGATTTTGTAGTCATACATAACTATTTTATCTTTGGCAATAACCTATACCTGCAAATCAGTGACACAGCAATGGATAAATAGATGGCTCTCCTAAAGCAACACTTTCACAACTATTACCCCTGAAATTTCTCCTTTACCTGAAATCATAATGAACCTATCTGCATCTCCCTCCCCACAAACATTTCCTCCACCTCACCCCAATTTAAATCCTGATTCATTCAACTACTCTATGCATCTAATTAAACAAAAGCCTATGCCTTTTAATAACATTTGTTAGTTGGGGAGGTTGTCCCAGATTCATAATTTATTAATAACACAGCTAATCCTAATCTGGTACATGTGTATTTCAATTATTAGATTTTATTCTATTACTTTTGTCTCCTTTCTCTAACTTAAAAGGTTCATTTTGAATTTTATTTCCTTCTTCCAGAGTATTAATTATTTCATTCCAATTCTGTATTATTTGCATCTTCTACTCTTCAACCAAGTTATTTATAAAAACATTAAAGTGGAGAGATCTGAGGACTTAATTTTGTGGCACTCCTCTTAATGTGTCAGATCAATTTAATTGAAAAATTTAATGAACGTTATTTGAGCACAATTTCCAAGCAGCCAGAAAGCCACACAACTGCCATGCTATCTAAGACAAATTCCTTGTGTGTCCAATCACACTTGGCCAATAAAGAATTCTATTCTATTCTATTCTAGTTAGCTTGCTAATCAGAGTAGCATAGGCTACTCTGCCAAAACGCTTTGCTGAAACAAAACAAAACAAAAATTTAAAGTATTCCCATAGTCTTCTAAGGATGTTCTGTATTAACATTTGTCTGGCAGGTTGTTCTTGACAAATCCAGGCTGACCTCTGCTAATTAACTTTATAATTATAGCTTTATTTATGATCTCTTCTAGAATTTTCCCAGATATATATATATATATACATACATACATACATACATACATACATACATACATACATACATACACCAGATTGACTATACTTCCTTGGACCCATTTTTTTTTCTTGTAAAACAAACACAGGCATAACATTTCTTAAAGATAGTATCTGGGGATTTGACTGGTTTATCAAAAAATTCCTTCAGTGTCCTAAAATGTAATTCATGTGATGCTGGAGATTTAAACTCAATGTAAAAAGATATTCTATCTGAATCTTTCATCCAGCCCCTTCATATGCTCTTCACAATTTTCTGGTAAAGAACATAACCTCTTATTGTACAAAGCTATTATCAAAATTGAAATCAAGTAGCTTTGCTTTTGCTCTGATGCCTGTAAACATTAAGAATCAGATTGTTTTCTCTTTCTTGGGAGATATATGAAGAAGCATCTTGCTGAAACTCAAATGTCCTGACACTATCTCAAATTCCAGGCTATCCATACAAACTCTTTCTCAATGCCTGATTTCGCTTTCCCTTCTGGCTTTTTAAAAAATTCATATCTTCCTTAAAACTTTTTGTTTTAGTATTATGATTTGGTAAGGGGCATTGGAATATTTCTGACATCCAAGAATCATATTTTGTAAAACTTGGGTTTTATGTAGAGAAAAAAGTTCATTTCATATTGATTGTCTTCAGCTGATTTTTTTAAAAATATAGTCACTGTAGTTTCATTGTTAAGTATATGTTTTATTCAGTAAGCATCTATAGTTTTTTTTAAGTCAAAGAAAAAAACCCAGATATGCTTGCTGCTTAATGTTTGCCAATCCCTATTAAGTGTATTGATCCTCTTTCATAGCATATTTAGACTTTAAACCCAGTCTTCTTTCAAATTTATTCTTTAGATCTAGTTTTGCATTGTGATACATTCGTGATGTGCTAGAGTTGTATATTAAATTCTTCTTCCCATGCACATGCCTCCTGCAGAGACAGCAGACTATAGAAGCTGACCCTTACTGAGACCATCTTGTCTATCTGACAAAGCTCCTTTTTAACTTCTTACTTATTGCTTATTTTCTGCAATGGGGAAATTTTTTTTTAAGCTCTGCTTGTGATAATTTCACAGGCCCTGAGTACCCTGACCTTAGAAGCCCCAAGGTCAGAAGTCAAATTGTGTTCTGAAACATCTGTAAGCGTTATATTAAAGAAGAACAAAAGTGAAGAGATATCCACCAGCATGACAAGAGAAACAAGCAAAATGGGAATGACACGTTGGTCATCTGTTAGCCATGCCATCTCAAGCCAAGAGCTGCAAATGGATAGAGGGATGGTAATGGAAGAAGCAATACAAATTCAAAACATTTCTTATACTTGAGTCCATAAAGAATCATATTCTGTATTTTATATGTCTTCCTTACAGATTTTTATATTATTTTAAAGAGATTAAACTAAAATCAAAGATTGCAACAAAAATTTGAAAATCATATGGATCATTTAAAATGCTATTCAGAATTTAAATAAAAGAGTTTGCTTACTGATTAGGCATCGTTTCCTGATTATTAGAAATGTAAACATAAAAACAGCTAGTCATGTCAGCCAAATCTTTATGTCACTAATCCAATAATTAATATTTTTCAATCCACAATTCATAATATGAACAGCATGTAACATTTTGAAAAGGATAATTTTGTCAAACACTGGAAGCCAAAGCAAACTTAGTCCTGCAGTTTTTATTGTTGGTTTTCAAAGTATTTATATACACTTTTATATGTTTTAGTATATTAAGTGATTTGATCATTGCACAAAAAATTACAGTTTTTGGATGATGTAGGTATTGAATAACTAAAATTGTAAAATGAAACTTTAACTATGTCTTGCCTAGTAGTTCCAGACATATAGTTTAGTAAATTCCAGTAAACAAGTATAGCAAAATCTTCTGTGTTCTCCCATTTCATTTCATCTCATTTATTATGTAATCAAAGAATAATTGAAAAAAATGTTTTCACGTAAATGTTTTAACTCGGTTATCTCTACATATATAAAAAAAGAACTGCATCTTATACCAATATCCTAACAGAAATGAGTTTTAAAGCTGTATTTTAATTTCTATCTGTATAACTGATATATTAGTAACTATGGCAATACTTTCTCTATATTACAAGTGGAGCTTAAATTTAAATTAAATTAAATAGCACATATTAAACTTATTAAAGCTGTTTAAACTAAACATCTTGATTATTTTAGAAAGCTTTGCTACTGTTAATGTAATATAAAAATGATGTTATATAAAAATGATTATGTATATCGTATGTGGAAGAATTTATTTCATTTTTTGCATAGAAAAAAATCAGATTACACAACTAGTGCAATCAATGAAACATTACAAAAGTGAAACAGAAAAGAGAACAGACATTTATACATTTTACGTATAAGTTTTTATCTACTGAGCAGAGTGGATTTGTTCTGGGTCTACTCAATGAAACAGTTCCATCTTCCTGGACCTAGGAAAAGAGGCTTCTATTGTGGCACCTAGCCTGTTAAATATCCTCTCCCTGGAGATCTTGTTGGCCTAATCTTGTTGGGTTTCCAAAAATCTGTAAAAATCTTATTTTTCTCACAAACGTAACAGCCAGGTTCTCAGGAGACCCCAACAGTGATAAATATGTTGATTGAGGATTATGCCGTTGGTATTTTGCATTCCACATATGCTTATTATATTTTATTTGCATTTATGTTACTTTTATTGTTTTCATTTATGTTTTAGTTTATTGTATTTTATTTGTATTTATGTTATTTTGTTGTATTTTATTGTAAGCCACCCAGAGTTATTTGCTGAAGATGGTGACCACATACTTTTCTTAAGTAAATAAACCAGACAAGTATTTTTAGAAATCAGGTCCACAGCAGAGTATTAAGATTCACATCTTCAGTTTATGCAGTTACTTGCACTTTTCTAGTTAGCAAAGGAACAAAACTGAATATATTCTCTACATGGAAAAGAATCAGATGCAAGCATATATATTGAAAAAGAAAAAAGAAAGGCCTAATTATTGCAAATATATGCTCAAAGCAATATATGGAATCGCAAAATGATATAACTTACCAATTCCACAAATGCCAGTCCACCATAACTATGAGCAACAACAAATACATTTTCAGCTAACGACTGAGAGATAAAGTGGTCCCATACATAAATTGCATGTTCTTCAGGAGAGCCATTTTCCTAAAAAGAGAAGGTGGAAAATAACATTTAATTTGTTGTACATTTGTTTGTTTGTTTGTCAAATTTATATGACTGCCCATCCCATACTAAGTGACTCTGGGAGGTGTATAATAAAACCAGCAATTAAAACATTCCATGAAATGAACTTAAATAATGTAAGCTTACAAGAAGGAAGATATTACATACAAGGCAGCAAGGATTATGTAATAACATGTAAAATTTAAAATGTAAACATCTGTGAAAATTAAATAGATAGTCCTTTTTTCAGTGAAGGAGAACAACAAATCTAATTTAAAGACCAGTTTATCTCCGAGTATAATATAATATAGTATATATTAAATCCTAATGCCTGTTTTCAAGATACAAACATTTTTTAGGGGCTTACAACAGGTTATGATTACCCTTATTTTCTCAGAACAAAACAAAACAGAACAAAACAAAACAAAAAATACTGGATAATGATTCTCGAAAGCCTTTTATGATCCTAACTTTGGGCTATCTTATTAATACAACATTGTAATAAACTGAAATTAAATTAAATTAAATTAACTAAAGTACAGTTGTTGGGATCAGATGATGGGGTACTAATACTGTTCTTCCCCTTCTTTAATCTACATTTCAGTATCCTACTAGAAAAAATAGCTTCTTTGATAGAACACATTGGGAGCTCTGGGTATATTATAGAGGGGTCTTTGGTAGAGATGGACAGGAATAAATTATTGGGAAATGTTGTTTGTCCTGTGCTGAAGCCTGAGGTAACTAGACACCCCACTAAAATCTAGTTTAGGAGTTATTGATTGCCCATACTTTTACTTTATAAAGTTTATAAGTTATAAAAAATGTATATTGTTAAAAAATGGTATACAGTGATGTTGTATGTATGATTAAAGATAAACATACTATTATTTAGATGGCTTATAGTATTGAAAATAGGGAAAGAAAGATTATCAATATTTATATTATCAATATTAATTACCATTTAGGATATCAATACTACAAGCATAAAATTATTTGCCCTTTCTTGATTTACATTAAAAAAAGACCACAATTCAATCTTTGAGGGTGACTATTCAGTCTTCTTCAAGGATTTTGTTCTACAGTGACTCCATTTAAAAATATTCGATTTAGACAGTATGTTGTGGGGTTTTTTTGCTATGCTAAAATCAACATTTTCACCAGTAATTACATTCTTCCTTATTTTTATTCTACTGTACTTTAAACCGGTGTTTCTTAAAGTTTTTACTCTCAGAAACCCTTCCCACTTTTAAAAATTATGAAGAATGCCAAAAGAGTGTTTGATTCAGAGGTGGGTTTCAGCAGGTTCTGACCAGTTCTGGAGAACTGGTAGCGAAAATTTTGAGTAGTTCGGAGAACTGGTAGTAAAAATTCTGACTGGCCCCGCCCGCATGTATTCTCTGCCTCCCTAGTCCCAGCTGATCGGGAGGAAATGGGGATTTTGCAGTAACCTTCCCCTGGAGTGGGGTGGGAATGGAGATTTTACAGTATCCTTCCCCTGCCATGCCCACCAAGCCACGCCCACAGAACCGGTAGTAAAAAGTTTTGAAACCCACCACTGGTTTGATTGTATAGATTACATTTATCAGTATTTACCATATTAACAATTAAAATTGAAACTTTTGTAGAATATTCTTTTACTGACTTATGTAAAAGTAACACTACATTTACAAAAATAAGTAAAAAATAATGAGAGGAGTGATGTTGCTTCCAAAATATGCAAATGACTTCAATAACTAGTAAATAATTTTGATTTTACAGATCTCATCTAGGAGATTCTCGAGATGTTCTTGGACCACTCTTAAGAAACATTGCTTTCAGAGATCATATTCAGTTCTAATAGATAATACAAACTGTTGCAGCACTATATAATAAAAAAATTGAATGCAAAAAAATAAGAAAATCCCTGTGCTACAGTATATACACAGAGAAAAAAATTATCTCTCATCCAGCAACTACTTCATTCTCATAGCTCTTCATGCATACAATAATAAACTGAGAAATATACAATTAAATAAGCCAAGTAGTCAATCAAAGTGGTAAGAGGGAGCTCTGTAGTGTTCAAAATAGCTACTATGTAGATAGCAGTAATTATTGTAGCTACACAATGCTTGTATCACAATTGTGTCACAATTTCAATAACTCTCCCTCCACCCATATTCCTGAGGTGCCTCAATTTCAATATTTTAAAACCATTTTTCAGACTAGTTTTGTCCTTTATAACAAACAAAAAAAAAGGGGGGGGGACACTTCCCCTCCCCAACATAGACTTGTACCATTCTTCCCATCTTATGGTTCACATACCTATGGTAAACCATGGGCTCTAAAAACTGTACTGGGAATAGAGGCTGCTTCAGAATATGTAATGCTCTCAGTTATTTTCATGTGCCAGAAGTCAAGGGAATTACCAAGTGCACAAGCAGGTAACTTCTCAAAAATCGTCTTGGTCCATTAATTTCTTGGCTATATCATTTCATTGCCATATGATATAGTCTCCTTTGGTCACAAAAGTTCACTTGATGATTTTGAGACAGTTATTACTGTTCAATCTATCTCACAGGGATTTGTGGGGGAAAACTGGAGAAGGAGGTGCTCTATACATCAACATGAACTCCTGGATGAAAGCCAGGATATTGTATAAATTTAACACATACCAAAGTAAAAAAACTGCCCCACCTACAGTATCTAACTTCTTGAGGAGTTAGATATTTGGCAACTTGCCCAAAGTCCAATGGGAAAGGTTATTATCCCAGAGTTATACAAATATTTTAATTTTAAATCAATTGGTTTTCTTTCCAGGCTGACTTTATATCAGTTTTCAGATACCCGCAAGACATTTTCTTTATACAGAGGAATATTTGCATTTACATCTATAATAAAAAAATTAATGTCATTTGAAGCATTCCTTATACAGTTATCCATAAATATTAAACAATTACAGGGAAATTACATATCCTTGTCTTACTATGTGTTCAATGTTGGATAATTCACTAAGAATTCAGCTTATTCTCACATAAATTTTATTCTCACATAAGTATTATACACTTTAATCAAGGAGGTTAAAAACATCAAACCTCTTAAATACCATCTTAAGCACTTTGGCAAACTTGTTTTATAAAACTAGTTACTTCCAGTAGAGGCAAAGAAACTACAACACATATTCCAAAGCTTTAAAGGAAAAATGAAGGAAATCAGATATATTTTTATGGAAAATTTGAGAAGCAGAGTTCTAAGTGCATCAAAATTCTTTGCAGTAAAGGAGTTAAAAGGACAAACTATGGAAAGCTGAGTAACAATATATTTCACTTTCATTACGACTTGGTGACAAAAATGACTAACTGCTGGTAATGTTAATTTTATGGTTAAAAATAAGTTATCAACAATAGTTGATTTCTAAATAAATTGTTTAATAAATATAAATAAACTCAACATAAACTATTTCAACTCCTCCCCTCAGGATGTTGCTATAGGGCAGTGATGGCTAACCTTTTTGCCATTGCGTGCCAGGAGGGGGGGGCGGGGAGGTTCACGCGCGCACATGCCCACACCCATAATTCTATGCACCCCGCCCCGCGCATGCGACCCCCCCTTCCAGCCCTCCACTCCTGGCACGCGATGGCCCACTAGGCCTGTTTTTCTTTCTCACCTGGCTCCAGATCCTCTCTATGTATCTGGGGAGGGTGAAAATAGCCTTCCCCACCCCCTCGGAGGCCTGAAACGGCCCGTTTCCCAACTTCCAGTTGGACAGAAAGTGACTTTTTTGCTGTCCCCAGCCTCCAGAGCCTTTCTAGGAGTCTCTGGCGACTGGGGACAGCAAAAAATGTCACTTCCTGTCCAACCAGAAGTTGGGAAATGGGCAATTTTGGGCCTCTGGAGGGCCTCCAAGGGAGTGGGGAAAGCTGTTTTCGCCCTCCCCAGATGCATAGAGAGGATCTGGACCCAGGTGAGAAAGAAAAACGGGCCTTCCCCACCTCATCCCCAGGCCTGTTTCCCTACTTCTGGTGGGCCCAGAAGGCCCGAAAATTATCTGGCCAGCGCGCTGGAGCTGGGGTGCCCTCTGATATGGCTACATGTGCCACAGGTGGCACGCGTGCCATAGATTTGCCATCACGGCTATAGGGCATTGCATGCCAAAACTGGACACAGACCCCCATGCCATCACTCTACTGAACACCTAATTCCCCACAGCACTGTTTCATGCCTAAGGATTTTTAACGATGTAGTAGGGCTGTATTATTATTATCATTCTCATCTTTCCTATTACTTTATCATTCCTTCCTATTATTGGTATCTTTCGATGATATAACTTTGCTGTTTGTATGTGCACTGAGAGTTTATGCATTGGAGACAAATTACTTGTGTGTCCAATCACACTTGGCCAATAAAGAATATTCTATTCTATTCTATTCTATTCTATTCTATTCTATTCTATTCTATTCTATTCTATTCTATTCTATTCTATTCTATTCTATTCTATTCTATTCCTCCTTGCCCATTATCTAACCAACTGCTTTTAACAAAAAATTCATGCACAATCTGACAAATTAAGCCACATTTTAAAAATGAAATATTTTATTAATAGAATTCAATATACTATTTAACACAATGAAAAATTAATAAGTGCTGTTCTTAATTTTGATATTTTAGTTCTTATATTACTGAAAAAGAAAGAATCATATATCTTATTATAAGTCAGTAATTATTAAAACATTTGTCATTCCACTGAGCTGGAAATTAAATGAAAGAATACTCTGAAGATAAAATAATTTTGTAGTAAGAAATATAAGCGATTTTTTTATCTATAATACAAATTTATAAACTGAAAATTACAGTATTCTTCCAATGGTTTCTTCTTTACATATAATTGACAGAAAACACACATACTTAATATGATAAACTCCTAAGCTCTTTAAAAAAAACATAAAAACCAAATATTCATAAGCCACACTCCATTGCATTAGTAAATCTTGTGAATTAACAAAATA